GCCAAGAATTGATTGATTTTGATTAGGCGTTTGATTGCCAAAAGTGGTGATCTAAGGCTTTTAGCCAAAAAAGAATTGATTTTAGCAATTTGTTGCCACAAAAGTTGATCGTGATTTAGGCATTGGTTTGCCAAAAGTGTTATTTGAGGCTTTTTAGCCAAAAATGGGTTGATTTTAAGCAATTTGATTTGCCAAAAAGTGTTGATTGGCGATTGTCGCCAAATTAATTGAGTTGAGGCACTTTATTGCCAAAATTGATATTGTGGGCTTGTTGCCAAAATGGGTTGATTAATTCAAGGCATTTTTTTTAAGCGATTTGTCGCTTAAAGATGGTTAAATCTACTTATTAGGCAAAATTGTTTGCCAAAGTATTTGAATTGAATTGGCAATATAGGAAATTTTATTGCCCAAAAGAAACGTGGGTGATTTAGGCTTTTAGCACATTATTGATTAATTGGACTTAGCGAACTGTTTCCGAAAATAAGGCAGATCTTACCGTAGTTCATATTAATTGACTAGATACTTGAGCCAATTATTGTCGGATTTAGGCTTTAACACCACGATTATTAATTAACCGGAGATTTTAAGCTTATCATATTTAATTGAGGCAGGTTTATTTTTGCTAATTGATTTGACGTGAATTGCATTTATGCATCAGTTTAATTCCAGACATGGAGTAGAAGAGATATCACAAATGCTTGAAATTAAATAGGACACGAGAGCGACGCTCGACAACTAGTCCTGTAACAGCCACGGGCAGTGAAAAAAGACAATAGCGGAGAAGTAGTCACAAGTTTCGTTATTACCTGAGTACCTGAGTTAATCGGCGGTCGCTTCTTAGCTTCAGCTTGAAAATTTCAGATTAAGCTCCTCGTTTGGGGAACATTAATTAAAATTAATTTAATTAAAGTGGCCAAGTATCACATCAGCAGAATACTAAAAGCCTATACTAAATGCAGAAAAGCAGTAAAAGAATAAAAGAACCGCAAGGAGCGTAGGGGAGAAGAAAGCGTCCGTCAACACAGACTGAGTCAGTAAAAAAAGTCGCATCGGGGCTGTTTTTATAGGAAAAATCGGGCTAGAGGGCGGTCACTGCCGCCGCAGACGGCGGCAGATGCCGCCGTGGAGGGCGGGCGCCGCTGCCGTGGCTTGACCACTTTCTAGTTTTTCGTTCCGAAGGCTTTTTCGGGAGTTCCGTACCTCCAAAAAATATTCCGGGACCAATTCTGCGATCCTTGTAATTTTTCGGACATTTCAAGTACCATATTGGCATACTTTCGGTAAACTTTCTGAATGGCCTCCAGTCCGGCCGGACTATTTGCAGTCCGGGAAAACAAGCTTTTTGAGCCTCAAAATTTGAGTATTCACAGTTGCCCCCCACCTCAATCCGATTGGGGTGGGGAATACCAAGCTCTTCAAAAATATTTGAGTGACAATGGAATCATTCAACATAGTTCTTGTCCACACACCCCTGAACAAAACGGATGTGCCGAAAGAAAACACCGTCACATAACTGAAACTGGTAGAGCCTATTTAATCCATGCATCTGTACCACCAAAATTTTGGGACCATGCCTTTGCTGTGTGTGTGTTGTATTGTGTTTGTGGTTTGTTAGAGTTTTTTTTGTGTTTTTGTTGTTTGTTGTATTGTAAGTTTTGGGTGTTTTTGTTGTATGGTTGTATGTTGATGTGTTTTTTGGGTTGTGTTGTTGGTTTTTTTGTTTTGTTTTGAGGTTGTATTGGGGTTGGGGTGTAGGGTTTGTTTTTTTTATTTGTTTGGTAGTTGGTTTGTGTTTGATTGTTTACGGTTTGGTTGTTGTTTTTTTTAAGGGGAGGGAGGAGGGGAAGGCCGGGAGGGAGAGGGGAAAAGGTGAGGGGAGGGGAGGGGGGACAAGAGAGCCATGATTGATGTAGTGTAGTTCGTTTGTGGTTGGTTGTAGAGTTAGTTGGTGTATGTTGTGGAAGGGAAGGAGAAAACACCGTCACATAACTGAAACTGGTATAGCCTATTTAATCCATGCATCTGTACCACCAAAATTTTGGGACCATGCCTTTGCTGTGGCAGTTTATACCATTAACAGACTCCCCACTCCAACTCTTAACCATAAGTCCCCTTATCAAATTATTTTCAACGAAATCCGGATTATCAATTCTTTCGTGTTTTTGGTTGTGTTTGTTATCCTTGGTTGCGTCCGTATTCTAAGAATAAATTGGACCCACACTCTACTAAATGTGTATTTCTTGGATATAGTCTTCTGCATAAAGGTTACAAATGTCTTTCTTTATCTACTTATAAGATTTTCTTCTCACATCATGTGTTGTTTGATGAACAGGTTTTCCCGTTCAAAGAAAGTGATAGCGCTCTTCTGTCCTCGGTTCACCACCACCGCTACCATCTATTTTGTCACTTGTTAAACCAGCTTCCACAACTTCTACTCCCTCGGACAACATTCCACAACATTACCCTGCTGCTATTTCGTTACCACAACATTCCACTACTATGCAACCTTCGGCTGCCCCTATAACTGACTAAGCAGTACTCGCTGCTGCCACACCTATCATGTCCGAGGCTGTGGTCGCCTTACCTCCACCACCTGTCCATATTGAATCTGCCCCATCTATGATTTCTCACCCAATCGATCTATAATCAATCGCCATCCCATGGTAACACGTTCTAAAACCGATAATTTAAAACCCAAAATGTTTCAAGCTTCTGTTGTTCCTGCTCCACCAAGTACTTATACTGAAGCTCCTAAACATTTGATTTGGAGGCAAGCAATGTCTGAAGAAATTGATGCTCTCATGGCCAATGGAACTTGGGATTTAGTTCCTCGTACACAAGCTTTCAATGTTGTTGGGTGCAAATGGATTTATCGAATGAAAACAAAATCAGATGGATCTATTGAACGTCATAAAGCCCGCTTAGTTGCCAAGGGTTTTCACCAACGGCTAGGGGTCGATTATATTGAAACATTTAGCCCGGTAATCAAGCCTGCTACTATTCGATTAATATTGTCTATTGCTGTTAACAGTGCCTGATCTATTCGACAACTAGACGTCTCCAATGCTTTTTTACATGGAACTCTTGAGGAACCAGTTTTCATGGAGCAGCCTCACGGCTTTGTTCATCAGAACAAACCGGATTATATGTGTGCTGTAAAAAAATCATTGTATGGCTTAAAACAGGCCCCTCGTGCGTGGTACTTTTGTCTTGCTCAGGCTTTGCAACGGCTTGGTTTTTACAATTCTAAATCAGACAGCTCATATTCATTCTCTCAAATGCTTCTCATGTTGCTTACTGCTTCTCTCAAATGCTTCTCATGTTGCTTACTGCCTTGTGTATGTTGATGACTTAATATTAACAGGCTCAAGTACCGATCTTCTGCAATCACTTATATACCAGCTTTAAAAAGATATTGCTTTAAAAGATTTGGGGTCTCTTAGTTATTTTCTAAGTGTTGAAGCTGTCTCATCCTTTGATGGCCTACATCTTTCCCAAACTAAATACATTCGGGAAATTCTTCGTCGTGTTAATATGCACGACACCTCATCTGTCAGCACACCATCTTCTCCACAAACCTCCTTATATATGGACAACTCACCTAATTTTGAAGATCCAAAATTATTTCGACAAGTGGTGGGCATGTTGCAATATCTCGCATTAACACGACCCGATGTTACCATGGCTATCAATAAAATTTCCCAATTTATGCACTCACCATCTGTCCATCATTGGCAGGCAGTAAAGCAAATACTTCGCTATCTCCGTGGTTCAGCTGATCATGGATTATTGTTTCGGCCATGTTTGACACCAACACTTGTTGCTTTCAGTGATGCAGATTGGGGTGTGATCGCCTTGATCGCAAAAGTACTTCAGCTTATGCTGTTTTTCATGGCACAAACTTAATCTCTTGGTGTTCAAAAAAATAGAAGACTGTTGCCCGCTCGAGCACGGACTCTGAGTATCGGGCATTAGCAACAACAACATCTGAGGTTTACTGGTTACAAAGCCTTCTTCGTGAATTTAAGCAATCTGTTCCAACAGTTCCTCGCATTTGGTGTGATAATGTTTCTGCTACATATCTTGCTGCTAATCCAGTTTTCCACTCTCGATCAAAACATCTTGAATTGGACTTTCATTTTGTCCGTGATCAGGTCCGCAACAAAGTACTTCAGGTCTCTTACATATCCACCACATATCAGGTTGTTGATTTACTTACCGAGCCTTTATCCAAATCTCGGTTTCTTCACTTGAAATCCAAACTCAAGGTTGTTCCACCCATGTGTTTGCGGGGGGTGATAAGAGTATAACTTAGTCAAAATTCTATTGTAACTCTCTCCTTTCTAATAGGGATATTTTATGATTTATTTGTATCTGTTCCTCCTGTATTTTAGGAACTTAGTTGCTGAACTTTGTATATAAATACTCAATCATAACAAGCAATAGATATACTATTACCTATCTAATTTGCATTTCTACAATATGATTGGATTTTTAAAAATAAATAAATTTTCAAATAGAATATATATAATATTTTTTAGGAGAGAGATAAAAAAGAAAAGATGTATATTATTTTTATTAATGTTTTTGTTCTGTATATTATTTTATTAAACTGTTTTTTGTTCTTATGTTTATAAGATTTGATTGGATATATTTTTAAAAAAATAAATCCCTTTCAATAGAAATTATTTACATAGTTAGTTTCTGTAATGGTAAACATGTTGAATTTTAACTTTAAAAAAATAATGTTTTATTGATATATTTATATATGCTATAATACCATATGGAAACATTTGAAAATTTTAACTTTAAAAAAATAATGTTTTATTGATATATTTATATATCTATATACATTGAAACTTTTTTGTTAAGTGAGTTACCAATTTGATTGTTGTGTAGCTCACAGTATTATTTCAGCTCATCAGTCCTCCTAATAAATAAAAAAATAATAAATACATATATATATAATTAAGCATTTCAAAATTTTAAGTCTTATATTTACTAAATTTATTTTTAATGAATATATATGATATTGAGACATTCGAAAACTCTATATTTTATTTATTAAATATTTAATTCTTTAGGAAATAGATAAAAAAAAGAAAGAAAATTTATTTTTTTTATTAATATTTTTTTCTTTTATGTTTGTATGATATGATTGGATATGTTTTTTAAAAAATAAATTTTCAAATAGTATATATATAATATTTTATTTAGGAGAGATAATATTTTCTATTTAGAGAGGATAAAAAAAGAAGAAAAAGGTTATATATTTTTATTAAATATTTTGGTTCCTTATAGTTTGTGGCCATATTTGATTGCATATTTTGTAACAAGGTAAATTTTCAAAATAGAATTTTACATAATTAATATGGGATGGTTTAATCAAATTAAAATTTTAATTTTAAAAAAATATATATTTTATTGATATATTTAACTATATTATATTATTCAAACATTTTTTTTTCTATATTAAATCATTAATGGAGATAGAAGATATATGACATTTTGATATATGACATTTATTGATTAATTCAGATCCAAAAAATAAAAAATTATGCAAACAAATCAAATTAAAGAAGAAAATTAATCATTAATAATTTTTTTTATATAAATCGATGGTACATCAATTTTATATATTATAGAATTAACTTTGAAATTATTTATAATTATGCATTCAAAAAATGCAATGGAAACTCATATTAAGTATTATTTATATAAATTAAAAAATTTAAATAAATAACTATTTAAGTTATAGCAAAAATGTAATTAAATAATAATAAAAAAGTTAAGTGAGAAGATAATATTCGACATAAATATAATTAAATAATTATAAAATGATTAAATGGATACAATACTATTATCGCAGGAATTTAATCAGAGAATAACATAAGGATTAAAAAAATTACAGAATTTTGTTAAAAAAATTATAAAATTTAATTAATTATGTATGTATTTTAATAATATTATTTTAATATTTATAGTTCTAAATATTTATTTTATTGCTCTTACTCTGATAACTTAAATATATTTAGATAATTTTAATACTATAACATTATGTACACAACACCTGTCACGAAAGCCTTACAAATTAATTTTGGAGTCTGCGTCTCTTTTTACCAATAAACTATTACCGCCAACTATGCCAAATTACTGTTACTGTAATACCTGTTCACGCTATAATTAATGATATTAGTATTCTAAGGGCAGAAATGTGAAAACACTATACTTTCAGATGGCAGCTGTATTTATTTCTGCAAACAAGATGTCGTACAGTTCAATAATTCTCTGGTATGCAGAAGCTTATCCGGTTGTTTGTCTTTTTTTTTTCAATAATTCAATCAACAAACAAGCATTCTTGTTTTATAGCCAATAAAGGAACCAATGACAAGTCCTGATCAGCATTTAATGGTAGATTGTGTAATCTTTAATTAACTTTTATTTTAAAAAATAATATATTCTAAAACACTTAAATTTAACTTAAAAATTAAGTTAAAAATAACTTAAAAATTAAGTTAAAAAATTCACTGAATAATTCAATTTAATCTATTTAATTTTATAAAATATTGAATTTTAAATATAGAAAATCATTTTATTAAAGATTTTATTATTATTAATTTATTTAAATTTTGACTATGAACAAACCAATATGTTTGACCCTTTACTTACAATTCCGGCCGCATTCTTTTTCAATGTGAAGGGTCGTGTTTTTTCAGCAACATCAATCATATTGGCTTTAATTATGGTGGCGTTGCGAATATACAGTGCCTACATGAATTTAATCCTAAATTAACAAAAAAGTAATATTATCTATGGAGATTCTACGTATGAGTAATCTTTGTTAACATTATAATTTTATTCTTTTTAATATGTCCATCGTCCTCCTCACATAAAAATAATAATATTAAAATTTTTAATTTTAATAATATTTAAAATTTTTAATTTTTATATATAAAACATTGATTCTTTTAAAATAATAATTTTTAAATTGTTAACTATTTAATACGTATTTTAATCAATATAATTAATGAATTAATTAAAATATTTAATGGATCAAATAAAATATTTAATAGATTTAATTTGTATAAAAACAGAGTAAATAAAAGAATCTAACTAATAATTTAGTAAATGAGTGGACTGACAGCGATGTACAAAAAAAATTAAGCATTTTCCATTAATTTTTTAATTGATGCGACAACTATTTATTATGAAAAAGAAATAGTAATAAATACAAAATTTAAAAAAAAAATACAGAAATTTATTATTGTACTTTCCACGAAAAGTTTTGTGACACTTCAAAATGCGGTGACATTTCAGGGTAATTTTAATGGTTTTTAAATTTTATATATAAAACATTTCGAATATTTTTTACTTTATATAATTTTCTGAATAATAACTTTCTCATTTTTTATTATTTAAAATATTTTTAATTATATAAATTGAATTATTCAATAAAATAATTTTATAAATCCCAGTATTTATTATATATAAATTTATAAGCTGAATCGTTGAATTGTTTAATTCAGATTAATTATAAATTTATAGATTTGGCCCAATAAAATCTTTTCCGTTCCATGTGAACCTTGCTCCACCAAGTGCAAACATATTGGTGGGCTCTATAAATTATTAAAATTGTGTTTCCAGATTGGAGACAATCGCAGCCAACGAGACTTAGCTAAATGGCTCCCACTTCAAATCTGAGACTCAAAAAAGGACCTGCCCTGCCCATATTGAATTTAGAATTTAAAAAACAAAAATTAGAAAATTTCATTGAAGGAAATCATAATACAAATATGAAATACATGTATTATCCAGGAAGTTTCTATATTTTCACACAATGGATGTAATTATAAACCATTTATAAAAATAATAAAAAATTTTAACTTGAATTTAGGGTTTCAATTGATTTGACATTGTATATGTGTCATTCTGTAAAACACAGTCTATTGGATGACAATTTATAATTATTATTCGACTTTATAGTCTTTCAACAAGTTAAATTTAATAAACTTCAAAATTTTCCACCTACTTAAAAAGAAATCTGCATCTCAATTTACATTACTGTCTAAATAATAAAGTAACGCAGGTAAAACCACTGTGAAAGTGGCTAACAATCACAAAAAAGATCAATTAAAATTCAAAATAAATAAATCTAAAAATATAACCCAAAACATATTAAAACAAATAGATTTAATATATTTACTCAAAATCTATATCAAAAGATTATATTTGAGAATTATTAAAGAAAACACAGAAATAAAACAAAAATAAAACTAATAAAAAAAAATAGAGGTATAGGCACCGACAGCCGCCCAAAAGAGGCGAAAAAGAATATTGGGAGTTAATTGTTATAATTCAATATTTTTTATTAACATAATTCGTAAAGATTAAAATATTACTACTAAAATTAATACTAAGGTCATGCATGCATATGATTAATTAATCTTTAACCATTAAATAAAAAATAACGGTCATGCATGCATATGGTATTAATTATCCTTTAACCATTAAATAAAAAAATACACAGAAGAAGAAAGAAATATGAAAGTTTGCCTTATTACTTCTAATACCAAGACTTAATCACATCGTTTATTCAGAACATGGAATTTGGTAATACTCAAAAACAAACCAAGTCGAAACTTTAATTCTAAAACAGGAATTGTAATATCAAAAACAAACCAATGCAGGCCTTTAAGTCTAAACATAGAAACAATATTTCAAAAACAACACAGATCCTTAATACACAAGCTACACATAACAATAATAACTAAATACACTCTATAAAAATAGAGACCAGAATCACTTAAAATTATTTATTTGGTCAAGTCGCTTTGCCATATCGGGTGTTAAATAATTTTCCCAGTCACCAATCTTGCCCTTTCTAAAGAATGCATTATTTTCAACTTTAAGAAGAATTTCATTGCTAATCTTGTTACTCTTGTTCACCTGCAAATTGCTCAAGCTTTCAAAACTACAAAAATTAACTATTTTTTGTACTATACCTTGTCTTTCTTCTTCTACAGAGAAAGGGCACCCCATGAACTCTGCTATTCTCTTCACATAGAACAACGTATTATTCTGTAAATCTTCATATTTTAAAAACAATATTTTGTCAGGATTTTCCAAGCTTGCTTTCCAATATCCTAAAATATTGTCCCAAAAAGGTCCATAACCAGAAAACCCAGTACAAAACTTATCAAATGCCTCTTCCCATGACATAACATCAGTCTCCAAGTGCTTACTAATGAAATGCCATAGCGAGACAAACACATCTTTAGGATCTCTACACATATAAATTATTTTACATGTAGAGCACTTCACAATTGATTTAGGCAAGGAAGCATAAGGAACAGGGAAGCATAAGCAACATGAGTAGATCACAATGGATTTTTGTGGAGGTCTCTTTGGACGACCCTTACAATAATAAAAACTCTATAAAGAGGCACAATATCATGTGGCATATTTGTGAGTAATGGGTTTTATCGAAAGAACACAAAATTTGGCTTCTTCTGAAAATTGTAAAGCATAGTGCCTAAGCCAAGTGTGTGCAGATTTGTGGAAGAAGTTACAAATATAACAATCAAGTAAGGTTGAAGGTATGAAAATATTTTGAGCTAGAATTATACCTTCAAAGGAATTTGGGTAGTCACAAAGTCTTGGTATTTTGTGTAAAATTTTTGAAAAGTTTGCCAAACTAGTTTTGCCAACTAGTTTCTTTGGGAAGGTCTGAGATGATCTGTTGACATTCAATTAAGGCTTTTGAAAGCTCTTCCAAATTTGAAACATTCATAGCTTTCAAATTTGAAGAAGTATAATATTTAGATAGGTGATAGTGATATATATTAATGGAGTGTATCAAATAATGCATATATAAAGCCTGTTGGTAGGTTCGGTGTGTGGTCCAAATTGGTTCGTAACATGATGATAATTCTGTATGATGGAAGCCTATCAATCAGTTAAAGTGGGTCCCGGAACTTAAGGGTCGTTTTTTTGGAATGAGCATATTATATGTGGTAAAATCTATCAAATTTAATTTAATTAATTTAGGTTGATTCGGTTTTAGTTTTAATAAAAAAAAAATCATTTTTTTTATTTCAATCGGATTTTTATTAGACAAATTGAAAATTTTAAAAATTTTAAGAACCAAATTAATTTAGCTCAAAAATTATGTTAAATAAAAATTTAACTGAATTATTGAATTCAGTTCGGTTTAATTTTATAAATAGTTCAATTTTCATGATATAAAAAATTCAATTTATTAGATTTATTACTAATTTAATTTGATTTAAAAAACCAAATGTTGATACTTTACAAACAATTTTAAATTTTTGTTATTGAAATGTGACCGAAGACAACACACATTTTGTGTGCTCAATTGATTTAGATGGAGCATGTAAATTCAACTTTCAATTTATAAATTTTAGTAAGATTGCACAATTTTCCACATTAATAATAATAATTTTAAGATTTTTTAATAATTTTAAGATTTTTAATTTTTATTTACAGAATATCGATTTCGATTTGATATGTATTTAGTATAATTTTTATAAATTTTAATTATTTTAATAGGTGTTTAATTGATTTAATTTTAGAAGTTAAATTATTTAACAAAATCACTTTAGAAAAATTGAAATGTTTAATAATTTTTTATGGAAGTTGCCACCGACAGTACTTTGAAGAGTTAAAAAAGATCAAACAATAGAATATGAATGGCTATATATATTGGTTTTTAGTAGCTTATAAATCCCTAGTAATAACAAGAATTCAAGAAAGATGGAGTTCTATTTTCAGAAAGACATTTTAATATTTTATATATGTGGGTATAATTTCTGTACACTACATATAGTTAGAGGTTGCCATATTACGGTTCCCATAACCGGAATCGGTGGTTCGAACCGGATCCGAATCAGAATCGAAACCGGTGGGAATCGGAATCGAAATCGAAGATTTTCGGTTCGGTTCCGGTTCCAGTTCGGTTCGGTTCCGGTTCCAGTATTGTTGGAACCGCGAACCGACGGTTCCACAAACCGGTCGGAACTGGAAGGAACCGTCGGTTCTCCGGCCGGTTCGAACCACCGGTTCTAGCCGTTAGAAACTGTCAGTTTTTTTTTTAAAATTTTGTTGTGAAATCTCTTAATTACCCCTCCCAACAACCATCAACGGCTACATAACGGCTAGTTTTAAATACGGCTAGTTTTAACGGGTATATTTTGTGAAAAAAAAAATAATTTTTTAGATTTATTTATTAAATAAGTTCAAGCCCCTTTTTTGTCTTCTTTAAATGTTATGTTCAAACTTTTTTTTTAAAACGAAAAAAAATTAAATTCAGTTCAAGACCAAACTTTTTTAAACAAAAAATAAATTCAGTTGAAGACTTTTTTTAAAAAAATAATTAAGTTCAAGTCTTTAAAAAAAATAAATTTAATTGAAGCATTCTTTGATTTTTTAGGTGTATTTTTTTTTTAGAAATAACTTTCACAAATTTTTAAAATTTTGAAAACTGGTCTTCAAAATTTAAAATTTAAAATTAAGTGATTCACTGAAAAGCCGATCCGAACCGTCGGTTTTGAAACCGTTAAGGAACCGGAATCTTTCGGTTCCAAACCGGAACCGGAACCGTGGCGACCCTTACATATAGGTATAGATATCCATGATTTTTTATAAATTTTAGCAAGTTTTGAGAAAGTGCAATTGTAAATTTATAGATTTGTCCCAATAAAATCTTATCCCTTGCATGTGAACCGTTATCTTTACCCATAAAATCTTATCCCTTACATGTATATTTAAAAAAAAAAATTTATATTAAGACGCATTTTGTTTCCCTAAAATAACTTAGAGGAGAAGAATTTAAAATATCTTTAAAGACAAAAAGAATTAGTTACACTTGTAAACTTGCAGCTAACGTTCCACCACTAGTAATCAATGGTTTATGTGTATACATTGAAGAGCTGGTTACATCAGAACTGTCATTCGTAAGATTATAGTTTAACTAGTCAAATGAATATCCTTAATTTATATGGTGTCACATTGTTTATTATTTTCATAGAGCAGATGTTTCATGTTTCCAAAATGATGCAGATCTGTATGTATCACTAGCACATGCCCTTTTACCTCTTCAAATCTTATCTGAATAAGATCGAAAAAATATGCTCCATTATGTATATATAATAACAATAATAATAATTTTCCTGAATATAACCTAATCCGAAAAATATGCATCATTATGTATAGTTTTATAAATAACCAATATAATAATAATTTTTCCTGAATTATTTAACCTAATCCGAAAAACGGTTCCCCCTAATTAAATCTTATTAATTTTTTGGTTGTTTCAGTTATATTAGCTATTATAGTGATATAGTAGTATATTATATATTTTTTTTTTTTTTTTTTTATTTTTCTTGATTGTCTTTAGTGTTTGATGAAAAGGAGATTGAACTTGAGTTTATACTAGATCTGGTATATATGCCATTTTTTTTTTTGAGTGTTGATGAAAAGAGATTTGAACTTGAGTTTATTACTAGATGGTATATGCAATTACCGCTAAATTATGCTTAAAGTATGTAATTAGTATCATTTCGAGTCTTTCAAAAATACTTATTCACAAATTAAAATTCTTGACTTTGTAGAAATTGTTCATTAAACTTTGGCTTTTCTCGATTGATATTTAAAAAATGAAAAAGAAAAGAGAACTTCGAAAATATAAAAACCAAAAGGACCGATATAACTAAAAGAAACCTAAAAAATTCAAGAGATTAAAGAGGATGGGTTGTCTTCCTACTTCATTCCTCTCATTCTTCACCATAGAAGAAAATCTATAAGTTAATTTTTCATTTCCTGAGCGCTTTTCCTCTTGTTCTTCAACTTACTACTTCACTTAATTTAGATGGAAGATTGAAAGGATCTGTTTCTTTTGTAGGTTTCAATTTCTCTTGTTGTTGCTTTCATGAACGCAAATTTTGATTCACCAAGTTTGAGTCCTTCTCATCTTTTTTAGTACTCTTTTGTTTATTTGTAAATTTCCATCTTTAATTAGGAATCGTAATTTAGTATTATGTGTTTGGCATGTGTAATTATTATGTGATTTGAGCCTAGTTTGAAAATGCTAGACTTGATATTTTAAATTAAGGCTTTTGATTGATAATTTTTTTGCTTCTTTATTAGTTTTGCTAGTTTTGTTAAAAAGATGTTAGCTCACAGGTTAACTCGAGCTACTCATTCTATGTAGGTCTTGGAGAGTGGATCTCACTCCACCTTCTTTTATTATTGCTACTTTATTTTCTGATTCCCATTAATACTACTTAACACAGTTAAAAAAAAAAACATAACTGATATCAGGTTGTCACCTCATGTAAGTATTCCAAAAAAAAAAAAAAAAAAAAAAAAAAAAAAAAAAAAAAAAAAAAGGAAAAGAAAAAAGAAATATGGGCCCATATGCCAGTTCTTATTTTCAACTTAAGATTTTAAAAAAAAAAAAAAAAAAAAAAAAAAAGAAAGAAAAGAAATATGCATATGCAAGTTCTTATTTCAACTTCAAGATTTAATCACACGATTTATTCTAAAACATAAAATTTGTAATGAACAAACAACTCACACCAGTAATTCTAAAACACAGAAGAATAATTTTAGAAACAACCCATGCTAATACACCAGAAGCTGTTAAACAACTTAAAAAGTAATGCCGGAGCCGTTGAATTTGTCTTTAGTTATCTGATCAAGTTGTTTTACCGTTTCGAGAGTTAAATAATTCTTCCAATCACCTACCTTGCCCTTTCTAAAGAACGCATTATTTTCAAATTTAGAAGGAAATGCAGTGCCAATCTTATCATTCTGTAAATCTTCATATTTTAAAAACAATATTTTCTCAGGATGTCCCAAGCTTGCTTTCCAATATCCTAAAATATTGTCCCAGTATGGTCCATAAGCAGATAATCCAATACAAAACTTATCAAATGCCTCTTGCAATGGAATAGCATCAATATCCAATTGCTTACATACAAAGTGCCACTGCGAGATAAACACATCTTTAGGATCCCTACACATATAAATTACTTTACATGTAGAGCACTTGATAATTGATTTGGGCAAGGAAGCATAAGGAACATGAGTAGACAACAATATAAAAACTCTATAACAGGCACAATATCATGTGGCATTTTTTTGAGCAAAGGGTTTATTTTAGAGCCATCAGAATATTGGCTTCTTGCAAAAATTGCAAAGCATAGTGCCTTAAGCCAGGTTGTGCCAGATTTTGGAAGGGTATAGAGGATAATATCAGTAGGTTGAGGTATAAAGCATTCCATCAGAATATTGGCTTCTTGCAAAAATTGCAAAGCATAGTGCCTTAAGCCAGGTTGTGCCAGATTTTGGAAGGGTATAGAGGATAATATCAGTAGGTTGAGGTATAAAGCATTTTTGAGCTAGCATTACACCTTCAAGGAAATTTGGGTAGCACCAAAATTCTCGGTATTTGTGTAAATTTAGAGGAAGTTTCCAACTAATTTCTTTGGGAAGGTTTGAGATGATCTTCTGACATTCAATTAAGGTTTTTGGAAGCTCTTCCAAATTTGAAACATTCATATTTTTCAAAGGTGATGAAGGCTCCATATATGAAATGATGCATATATAAAGCCAGTTAGTTTTTGTTGATAGATAAAGCGTGTGATCCCAATTGATCCATGACGGGATGATACTTTTGTATGCTTGAAATCATTTTTAAGCTTTTGTTTTTTTGGAATGAATTTTTAATCCTTGAAGTTGAAGACAAAACACATTTATGTCCCAAATTGATTTAGCTTCAATATATAAATTCATTCCTAAATTTTATTACTTTAATACTATGACATCCTA